TTTTGAGTTTATCTCTTCGAGCGTAGAATCAAAATTGCTTTTTCCTTCTTCTTGCCTCGTTTCTCCATTAACACGTTCATGTTTGTATTCTTCGGATTCATCTCTGCCTTCTCTCTTCTGATCTGCTATGTGCTTCTTCTTTCATTGATGTTTGAGAAATGATTATCAGAATGTAATGCTCCATCTCGATTTTCTACTCTCTTTCCATTTCATTCATTTTATGAGAAATTTTTATCGTTTTTCCCTCCCTTGGCTTCGATGAACCAAATCTTTTTATTTATTTTCCATTCTTCGATTTCTTAGTGACACGTTCAGGTTTCTATCCATTCGAACCGATTTCTCATGCTCTCTCTGATTATGGTACGCGCTTTACGTACGAGAAAATTTTTTTTCCTGAACTTTCTCTTGGTTCAGGCGATCCAAATATCTTTTTCATTTGCGAGTTTGATTTCCAAGTCGATACATTCGTGTTTGTATTTATTATATGTGTTTAAGCAAGTTCAGAACCACAGTTTTCTATTTTTAAGACATTTTGAACGAGAGTTTTTCATATTTAATAGTGTATTTTTTATTTTTCAGTGAAATGTCTGCTACTCAACCTTCTTTGATTAGCTCTGCCAATGAATTTGTTAATCGCGTCATCTACATTGATCTCAATGACAAAAAAAATTTTACCTCTAGCAAACAAAGTAATATACAAAAAAAACTCACTGAAATGATGCAGGACCGCGGGTGGTACCCGAAGCCACCTCGCACATGTTCCCGAATATTTTACAAACGCGACGACAGCGCAAATTGGAGACCCGAAGAAGAGGTCCAGGAGGCAATAGATGCAACACAGAAATTACATCGACAGGCTGATTTCCAATTTGCTGTATTGAGACCAGTCTGCGTAACAGATGACTTGACTGATGATACCTTTGGTAATCTGTTTGATGGGCTCGACTAAGAGTGAAAGTTGTGATTTGTCTGTCATTGACTTGTTAATAAACATTTGTTATATAATAGAAATTTATAAAAATTATCAGAAAAAAGAATAAAAAATGAGAATCGGGGGTTTGTGAGTTTGTTCTGTGTTAGACATTTCTGAACAAAGCTCGACGTTGGAAACAACTACTCTGGTTGCACTGCCAGCAGACAACCCCGGAGAGTAAATGTTTACTGGCATAAGCTATTCGGTTTTTAGAATTATTTCAGATCAGGATTTCATTTTAAACTTGCATATGGTGTTCATTTATTGTTTTCAGAACAAAATTTCATATAAAAACTCTAAAATTCATTTCGAAATCGGGTGAAAAGCAGAATTCATAGCAGACTCGGCATGCCGGCTCACAACATGTGCTCTATTGCGATTTCTTGATTCCAATCATTCAATAAACACAGAAAAAACAGTTATTTATATTTATTATTTCATAATTTAGACTTCTTCTTCTTCGTTTTATTCCTTTTCTTTCTTTTGTCTTAGAAGGGTTTCAGTTGAGTTGAGAGGTTTTCATTTTGAAACGAAAAAATGAAAACCCGGTTGTTCTCTCACGGGAGTCTCTTCCTCTCAGTTCTTAACAGTCTGAAGTTCCTAATTGAGTTCTCGTCATTATCTGTGCTTGAGTAAGATTTGTTTTTCTTTCATTTCTGATGTCCGACCATGCATCTCTCGTTCTGTTTTCATATCCCCCTGTATGATTGTTTCTCTTATTATGGCACATGTATACTCTCTAAGTGTCGGGACAGGGCTCCTATGGATTCAGCGGGAGTAAGCTGAGATGTCGTGATCTGAGCTTAAAATAAACTCCACGCGATTCTAGATAGAACAAGTCTGGATGCTCCAGTAAGCAATTCTCTCTCCGTCTCCTCCATTCACAGATAATTGAGTGATTACTTATCAGAGTTCT